TAGCATGTATTGCCGATGTTTTGAAGTCCGACTGGCCAATCTCGCATGCTTCTCTCAGGCTCATTGGAGATACCTGCCATATTCCTCAACGTAGAGCTGTCCAGTTGTTTGGCAATAATTGTCAGGGCCTGGTTGTATCTCTCGGCATCCCCTGGGTTTTCATCGATGCAGATTGTATATGCGGCTATGATTGCCCCATCGTCCACAGTTCGATCAGGGATTTGGAGTAGACGATAGGCATCACCGATGTCCATTTCCCCGGCAATCATCTCTCCAGTATCAATGAAATGTTTCAATGCGACCGATTTGCGTGACTCGGCAATAAGTGCCACGGCGCGTTTCGCAAGTTCTTGGGTAAGTGGATTGTCGTTGACCTAGTTCATAACATAGTTAGCTCACGTCCAACCCACAAATAAAGCAACTGGCCCACACACACCTTTGCGGTGTACATAGTCATGACAAAATCATCCGGAGTCTGATCCTCGACCCCCAAGAAGACATTCGCTTGTTCCACAGTAGAAACACCTGTTGTCAAAATTAGCACGCACTCGAGTTTGAGTTTGGAGACAACATGACTGGATCAACGCACGGTCTTCTGATGCCGCCTTGATGCGCGCACTTCCTCTGGAGTCACCAATCCGCCACAACTGTTGACGCGCCTCGGTATCCTGCGTTGTAGAGTTGAGGAAGGCATAGAATTTGCCAATGATGCTATCCTCGGTGAGGTTTGGATCATCGAAGTGAAGATGGAAGTATTGATACGCGCCGACAACGTCCTCAACGGCGTACTTCCCTTGTTCATAAGCTGTCTGGACAGCTATGTCAATGACTACCTTGTCTTGTTCACCACGCAGACAGCCGATAGCCTTGAGAGCAGACAAGTACATCGGGGTCCTAACAGGATCAATCAAGACTTGTCGGCTGTATGCTTCGACAACAGTCGTTGAGGACATATCCTCTATCACTCCTAGGTCTTCATAGAACCTAAAGTAACACGTGTCAGATCCAGTTCTGTTAATTCGAAGATAGGATGTACTGACGGAGCATATGCCATCTCAAATTCCTTGTAACGCATGGCTGTCGGATCTGGACCAGATATTAGTCCGATTTCCAAGGGTTAATGGTTACCATATACGAACAGTCTTGCGCTTCTAGAGCGCAGGAAATAACGGAAATGGCAGACGAAGGAAGATCGGGAATCTGGAATCCTTTTCTTTCCGAAACCGATCTGAGATGTATCAGGACAAGCAACTCATGCAGCAAGTCGTCAAGAAAGAGACATGTCGTGTCTTGGTATGGTTTCTCGGCGTTAGAGGTCGGTTGAGGCGGGTGCCATGCCCCAGTCTCCTGCGTCGATTCGTCAGCGATACAAGACAAAACAAGACCAGTGAAGGAGTTGGGAAAACATATCATTATTACGAACCTTATTGTACATGAACTCTAGAGATTCAAGTAATTCTTTACAAGCAGTGCCTTCCACGCCGAAAGAGTGCATGAACCTCTTATTGACAGAGGAGATGGGCTTGCTGCGTTGTGGATTTCGTAGGGCGTTGGTAATGTAAAGGCGTAGATTATCCAATACATTGATCGGCTGTGGATCACCCATGCCTTCCATGGACTCGGGATACGCTGCCGTGGCCTCTTCAGCTCGCTTCCGCAACAACTCTTTATCAGTCATCAAGCGGATGGATTCCGGGGTCAGAATCGGTGAAAGAATCCGCAAAGACACCGTGGCCGAACATGACATGTATGAACATTGGTAATGGTACGTCTCCGCAGCCTGCCCTTTGGGAGTTTCTTCGGGCAACGTAAGACCATTCTTCTGCCGTCCTGATTGATAGATCAAATGGTGCAAGTGTTTCCCCTGATTCTGACCAAGTGTGCTCATATGGTTGGTGTAGTTAACCACCACTTGAAGATGATAACGGCACTTTGTGCATATGGCTGAGACCTTGGACAATGTGCCTCGCCTTCTCCGGTGCTCTGGCTCTGACATGAATGTTTGGTCTTCTTTCAAGACATACTGGTGTCGACATGCTTCCGGTGATATGAATGCAGGTGGGCCGGTGTACCCTTCTGGGTAAATGGGCGGAGTTTCCGAGAGGAGATTACGGCCTGTGTCTGGGTCGTGTGCTGGATCATACAGCTGGATATCTTGAATGAGACGCGGCGCAGTCTTTCCTATATGATTGATAGAAAAGTTGTAAGCATTTGCTCATGTTATATTCCAAATTTGCTGATCCAGGCTATTGCCTTACCGGCCCTCTGCACAGACGCCATGAAGTACGGTGTTGGGGCCTGAAGGCCTCACACGGGTTGGATAGTCGCCTTGACGCTAGAGAGTTGATTCCCCCAAAGGTTTGATTTTCATCGAAGCTTATAAAAGCGCGTAATGTAACAGCTCAGTTGTGATGACAATGTTGTCAAATGATGAAATCGCCACTGTATGCGGAGAGACAGCGGGGAGCCCACTGCACTTGGCAGCAAGCAGTGGCAAGCTTCTGGAACTCTCTCCCCTCACAAAATGGACTGGGTTGAGATCAATCTTCACTTTCAGCAAGCAGCAAGTAGAATCTGAGAGGGTTCCTGATGAAAACAAATGAGTCAAAGGGTTCGACATCAAAGAAGCATCAATCTAATCAAGTAGAGCTCCATTGGAATGGCGGGCGTTGGCGGTCAGGTATGGCAGAAAGCTAACTCCAAAATCCTATCGCCAACCACACATCCTATACCGCAAGCAGTCCATCCCTGCTATCACACACACATCATGGCGCACCACGACGAAGACCACAGCTATCACCCCAAGGATGCCATTTCGGCAGCCATGAAGGCCACCGCGCTTACCGGAAGCGTCGGTCTCTTCGCAGCCGCTGTGCAGAACACGCTCACCAAACAGAATGTCGGAACTCTGGGCGTCTTCGTCCGTGGCGGGGGTATCATTACTACCTTTGGTATGGGCTTCTTTACATATAAATTGATTGATCAATTGCTAAACTGGACATGTTACAGCGGCCATGGGTGGTACCTATGAGTTCATGAAGAGCGCTTCCGCCAACCTGCGCGAGAAGGAGGACCACTACAATGTCGCTCTCGGTGGCTTCTTCTCAGGTGCCATTCTTGGTCTCCGAGGTGAGTTTTGATTTCAATTGAGTCTATGGTTATTTATTTAGAGCTAATAATCCGGTTTACCTCAGTTCGCACACTCCCCGCTGTGCTCGGATATGGTATCGCCCTGTCAACCGCTATGACCGCCTTTGAGTACACCGGTGGCTCCCTGTTCGGATACCAGAAGGACACATCGGTGGATGAGTTCGACCGCCGGACAGCATTGCGCAAGGCATTCCAGACTCCCGGAGAGCAGACCATCTCGGAATTGGGTGAAGGACGTGGTACGTGCTTCTTATCCGGGTAGCGATATTATTCACCAGTACTAATTTTACTAGGTATCCACGGCCCTGGCTACGAAGAGAGACGCCGGGAGCGTATCAAGGATGCTTACGGCATTGAGGTTCCCACATCCCCAGTTCCTGCATCATAAGCCTGCATTCTTCTCAAATCCGCCTTTTCCCATTGCTTTGTGTAAATTATCCCCCCATATCACGCTGCCTATCGTATGGACATGCCCATCCGATTTGGTTTTCTTTAGTCTCCAGGAAATTCAAAACAATACACATTTCAAGTTTGGACCAACACAGGATTGTGCAGTCCTAGGTACACTGGGCTGTCGACGCCTATATGGTAGTTTAGGGTACTTGATTAAATATAACCTTTATGATCTGTAGAACCATCGCATGGAGCTCAGCATCAACCAGTGTTGAAGCGGGCATGTACCACTCTGGTGTTCAACAATACTCCAAAATGAGGGGATATCCCCGGACCACCCGGGAGCCAATGACAGCGCACGTATATCAAACAAATGGAAGACTTCGAGATACTTCCCAGGCTAGTATGCAATCATGATGAATCCTGGACTTTTTTATGTAGAAAAGATGACGACAAAACTGCGGCCAAATATTTACCAGCAGCTCTTTAGGTGTTCGAGCTTACGAAATTGCCAACATCGGGCCAAACTTTTGATATTCCTCGTCTTGGGTGATGAAACCTTGGTATGAATAATTCCTAACAACTTTTTGAAGACTCATACTTACTACCTGAAGCAGAGGAAAATTCTGCTGTAGGAAATAGCAGAATACTGGTGTGAATTAGGGCAATTGGGCTTGGTTTTCTTTCGCTTCTTCGACCAGTGCAGCCATCCGGTCATCGGAAATCAACCTCTATAACATCCGGCAGTCCCAAAAGGTGCCCACTTCTTGCCACCAAGAGACAAAGTCGGAATGCTATGACTTCGACGACCTGCCATAGCCTCTAGTGGAGTTTCTACGGGCCCAAGACGGCCTCAAATTCGACAGGTGCCCAATGCCTTCCCGGGATGAACTTGAAACAGGCACTTGAACAGTGGGATCACTGGTTCCTTCTTCACCCAGGCGAGCTTGGGAGCTATTCCGGGTCCTTGAAGTGGCATCCAAAGGTACTAAGGCCAGGATCCGTCACGAGGCCAAATCAGCACCATCTATGGACTAGCCACCAGGTACCGACCGGGATTTCTCATACCAGAGATGAAATGCGAATCGCGCAACACTGCTAGAAACCAATTGATCCTAAGTGGCCAACAATTTACAGCCGCAACAAGTTGTGCAAGGCGGTTCTTGATGTTCCAGGATTGAACATCACCGCACATTCCCGAAGACAAGAAGATACTTATTGCAAGAAGGGCCTTAGTATTTCCACCGGACTTATATGTTTCATTGAGGCCCAAAAACTACTCGGACAGGAAGCAGACGAGATAGAGTCAGGGCCACTCGTATATTCTATCAATGCCACCCCACCCGTATGGCTGTCGGGCTTGATTACAAGTGGGCTCATGCTAAACGCTATCCATCCTATCTATGGACCAGTGGATTTGGAACAGATGTAAAAAAGTACACACTCATGGACAACAACTAGCAGCTAGATCCGACCAAAAACATAGTCGCGCCCGGGATCGAACCGGGAACCTTCTCGGACCTTATTGTGAGCGAGACGCCATGACCATTAGGCCACGCGACTTGATTAATAATCTTTTTTCATATTTATGAATTGCTACGTATATCGGTACTCCGTAGAGGGGGTCGCAAAGAAGCCTTGTTTGCAGACTAGAGATTGTATGTTGTAGACGGTTACTACTTGGAATAAGATAACTGAAGGATTGAGAGGCGTTCTCTCATAATACCCCTAGGAAGATAGAAGACATTAATTAGTACGAAGACAAAACGACTAGATCAAGGCCAAGGGTATACTAGACTATATTGTTCATATACAGTCAAACCCTATTGAAGTTGAAGGATTTGTTCTCCGACTTTACTTTGCAGGACCGGCTGTCCGGAGTATAAAGGTGAATCAGTCAGCATGTTTGTAAACCGAGTGTTATTAAACGTAATTAGCTAGTCTTTATGTAGTCTTTTGGTTAGGTCGTAACTATGACGAATCGACCGGGATCAGAAATATTTCCAAAAACCGAGGTTTACGAGAAAAAAAAAAATTGTAGGCTTGAAATTAATGTGGCTTGATTGTATAGAGACAAAAAGACTAGTCGCGCCCGGGATCGAACCGGGAACCTTCTCGGACCGTGTTGTGAGCGAGACGCCATGACCATTAGGCCACGCGACTTGATATTATAATTTAAGCACATTTTAGCCAATATGAGGGTGTAAGTCCTATACCTAAGTAACCTTTTATTATGCTATTTTTAGTATCAAGCATTTGAATAGTTGTAGCATAGTAAATCAAGCCTACAAATTATGACCCTTCCGGCTACTGAGCCATTCAAAAGACAAATATTAATAATCAAGTCGCGTGGCCTAATGGTCATGGCGTCTCGCTCACAATAAGGTCCGAGAAGGTTCCCGGTTCGATCCCGGGCGCGACTATGTTTTTGTCTGTTTGAGTCTCCTAGCATTTTGTCTTCGTACTAAATGGTCCTCTATTCTAAGGAGGAGAAAGATTTTTGTACATCGCGAACCTATATCTTCTTTAGTCTATTCTATAAGCCTTTTTCTAATCTACATTAAACTATGGTTTATATTGTATTGGGCTATAGTTAACTACTGGTATAAGTAACTCTATACTGTATATGGCCTAGCGATATGATCCAATTGGTCACTGTAAAACAGATCCACAAAAACGACCTCGTTTACTCCAGCCTCTCTTGCTGCGGTACTTTATATTCACATGAGCGGTCGACTTAGAAAGTTCTGACGAAGTCGACGATAATTCCCCAAAAAGCAACACAGGGAGAAGTTGCTCAATGATATGAAATAGAGAACCTCGGTTGCTGGCTCAAGAAAGACTCCCATCCCAAGACCTCGATGCCCTTGGCTTTTCCTAAAAGGGCAGCCAAGTTGTTTCCAAGGTTGGCACTTGATATATTGACACATCACGTGATAGAGAGCTCCCCTGGACCTCGGGAGTGAAATTCACTTATAATCACAGCTTATTCCTAGTTACCTACCTAGGTAACTAGTTATAGTTAGTAAGTAATATACTCTAAGGAGAATATGGTACGCACGAGCGGAACCAGATAAATACGTATTACGAATGACCGGGTGTAAGTGGTGTAAGTAGAAGAGGGACCAACCTTGGAAATGCCAAGTGCCTTTTGATCTGCCCCAGATCCCAACGTCATGTACTGTTCATCACTAGATGATCAGGGGGGGTTAAATGTACCTACCTACCTATCATTTCTCCCCTTTTATTTTTTTATTTTTTATTTTTTCATATGAGCCACAGATCAAGTGGATCAAGTTCATCAAGATCATCAAGATCACAATAATACTCTTATTCTGTACTCCGTAGTTTCGCTCACTTATTTAGGGGCGGTGTCCCTCAGCCACTTTCCTTAACAGGCAACCATATAAATCATAGGAGTCCTTCCAAGGTTGTTACTTACTTACTACTTTGTATGTTACTATGTATAGTTTGTACCAGAATGAATAGAATATGGAATACTTCAGACGGCTTTGAATTCCGGTCCAGTACGTCAAGTTATAGATGCTTTTCATGATTTTTTTTCCCCCTCTCTTTCTCCCGGACGTCCCGAAAGCCTTTTCTTCCAAGGTCGTCACCATCTCGCATCTCGTAGACGTCATCGCCAGAAATTCCTTTCCCTTTAATTCCCCTCTGCCCTATATCGGTAGCTCTATTCTTCTTCTGATCTTCTCCTTTTTTTCTTTCTTTTTATAAACTGAGTGGGGCAAATTCTATGCTTCTGTACCTCCCCCGCATACAATCTGCTCCGTTCGCTAGGTAACCAAAAAAGACGCCACTTTAGGTGAACTCTGGAGCTATTATCCCCGATTCTCGCTTTTTTTCCCTTTTCCTTTGAATTTTTTTTTATTTTCAACTTTCGATTAAATTTCAATTTTCTGCTTCGATTCTTATCCTCCGAATAGCCGCATAAACCATAAACCCCCCCACGTTCCCGCAGATATGGCGATGGCCGCGCGGCCACAGACGCCCTCACAGGATGCATACATGATCCCGCACCCCAACGATCCGGGGACTTTGAGTCGCGGGTACGGCCCGCGCTCTACCCTGTCGCGACCGAATTCCTTCGCCGGCACCTCAGCATACCATTACGGCTCCGGCGCCCTCGAATCGTCGCAGGTTCCCCACAAACCCCCGTTTCAAGGAGGACTTCGATACCGCCAGTCACCGCAGCTCGGTATTTGACAGCCCTGCTGGAGTGCAGCGGTCTGCCTCCACCATGTCGCACGTGCGCTCCACGACCCCGTCCCGTACGAGTACATTGCGGAAGAAAGCCTCGCTGAGCAAGAAGGGAGCCTGCGGCGCAATGGGAGCCGGAAAAGCATGCGCGCGGGAAGTGTAAGGAGTTTGAGCTTGGGTGACCGCGAAAAGTATGGCACCGATGCCTCGCACGAACTCAATAGTGCTTTCGTCTCTCCGATTCCTACCAACGGTAATCCGACCGAGGTACTGGCGAATCGGTTTGGAGGTAGGCTTTCCTCTGTCAATGCGCGGGTTATGGATATTTTGCTGACTGTTATTTTACTTTTACAGCTTGGCGCAAGCTCCTGAAAGACCTGATTCTCTTTTTTAAGGAGGTGCAGAAATCATACGAGACTAGAGCGAAGCTTTTCATGTCCGCCTCGGGTGTAATGAATAGCCAGTCCCTTCCGCCGGGTTTACTTCACGCGGGTGGTCTGGCCGATGCGACGGAGATCCTTCAAAACTTCCACCGACAAGGTTATACCGAGGCCAATAAAGCTGTCGAGGTGGAGGTCGAGGTTATCAGCCAATTGACTGGTCTCCGCAGCGATCTCCAGAAGAAGACCAAGGAGATCAAGAGTCTTTCAAGTGATTTCAAGAATACCGTCGATAAGGAGATTGACGGCACGCGCAGATCCGTACGCAACTTGCACGAGGCTCTTGGGCTCGTTGATACCGATGCCTCTGCTACATCGGGCAAAGGTGATCCATTCATTCTGCGCCTGAGCGTGGAGAAGCAGGTCGAGAAGCAGATCGAGGAGGAGAACTACTTACATCGGGTTTGTGATGACTTGTTCTTATACTATTTGCTTGTCTAATGTTTCTTTTATAGGCATTCTTGAACCTGGAGAACTCTGGTCGTGAACTGGAAGGAATTGTCGTGAGCGAGATTCAGAAAGCATACAATGCCTACGCTAGTATCCTCCGACGCGAAGCCACTGAGGCTCTTGACACTGTTGAGAAGCTCCAGGCGGGTCCGATCTCTATCCCCCAGGATCACGAGTGGAACCAGTTCGTTGCCGACACAGAAGAGCTAGTCGATCCTCGAATTCCTCTCCGGGATGTGGAGAGCATCACCTACCCTGGAAAGGGTCACCCAGCAGCCGCAGAAGTCAGGGCTGGAATGTTGGAGCGCAAGAGCAAGTATCTCAAGAGTTATACTCCTGGCTGGTGAGTCCCCTTTTCCCCGTGCGGGTTGAAGCTTTTATCTAATCAAGTCCAGGTATGTTTTGTCGCCGACACATCTCCACGAGTTCAAGTCGGCGGATCGTGTGGCATGGCAGACTCCCGTCATGTCGCTTTACCTGCCAGAGCAGAAACTCGGCTCCCACTCACAGGAAGATTCAAGCTCCCACAAGTTCATGCTGAAGGGTCGGCAAACTGGTGCAATGCATCGAGGCCACTCGTGGGTCTTCCGTGCCGAATCTCACGAGACTATGATGTCCTGGTATGAAGATATCGAGGGCTTGAGCAACATGACAGGAGAAGCACGAAACGCCTTCGTCCGGCAGCACGTCCGTAGCGTGAGTGGTAGGTCGGTGCACAACGAGGTGATGGAGGAAGATGAAGCCGATCGCACTCCATACTCCGCAGGCTCTGCGGTCATGACTCAAGACCGACCCACGTCCTCTCGCCAAGCTGGAGGTGCGTTTCCCAGCGACGTCCAACTTGACCGGAACCTCCAGGCGCCCTTGTCACCTTCTAGCGGGGACAGCTCCGCCGGCAGAGATATGCTAGGAGCTGCTGGATCGTACCCTGATGGGTCTAGTGCATTTGATGACAGCCTGCGACCGGTAGGTAGCCGTGAAGGAGACCCTTCCTACCAAAACCACCGGTCCGACGAGGGGACCAATGGAACGTCTCGGCCCAAAGTTACCCAACACGATAGCTACTACGGTGACTGGATCGGACCGTCCGTGATAGTGGCTAAGCAGAGGCAGAGCCAGCAACTGGAAAACCCGACCCTAGATGACCGCGAGATCCGGTCTGATGGAGACCAGGCTTCCCTTGCTGCCATCTCGGGCGTCGGGATTGCTGATCGTCGGGATCACTCGGCTCCTGCCCAGGTTTATCGTCGGGAGAGCGTCTCTACAGCGCCTACTAACACCAACGCGACTGAGTTTACAAACCATACCAATCCTACCTCGGTAGATGATCAGGAGCCCGAGCTCCCTAAACCCCAGACTCTTGGCCTTGAGAATGGTTCTATCAATCAAGATCCTGAATCAGACAGTGCAGCCAAGATTCCACCCACTTTGCTGCGTTCGAATACAGACAACAGTGTCGCCCTGGACATGAAGATGCCAGGCCGTTATCCTCGCACCAATGTGGCAGCATAGGTGCTTCACCCTCTCTATCTTCATCCCCACATTTGTCTTTTCATCTCTCTTCTTACCCCATCTTTTCTTATTTTTCTTCAATATCCTTGTCTGTACATGTACCACTCCTCGCCTCTTAAACAATCCGTTCTTGTCCGTTCAAGGCGTTTTGATCCTCTCGTTGGGACAGCTTCTACACAGGTCCCGTCTCCCCCACAGCATAAAAGTCATGCTGCATCGGCGTTCGTTTTATCGGCAGGGCGTGGCGCAAGGGATTTTCTTCCTTCATTGTTTATTGTTTCATGGATTGATTCTTGATTCCCAGTGCTGGGCACTAAGCACCCATTTCTTTCGTTTTCCGGTGGGACCACTTGCTATTTGAAGTTTTTATTGAACCCTGAGTCTTTTTTTTTAATGAAAAAAAAGATACAAATAAACACGTTCCAGTTGGATATGCTATAGTCTCCCGAAAGGATACAGGCCGTGGCAATTTAGTAACTGAAATACGCTATGCAGCCAGTCATGAGTTGCAGATGTCCACTGTATGTTGGTGTGCCGGTGTTGGTGTTGTTGAGATACACGATAAGAGCGATAAGGCTATAGTCAGGACCTACATAATGCGTATTTATGTAGGCACGATACATAGATCATAGGCTAGGGCTGTTACTTTTACTTTGGGAATGAGAGCGGGAATAGATATATATATATATATATTACCTTTTAATAGCTTCATTCCTAATACCGGTATAGCTATATAGCTACATCGATGTATACAATTCAAGTCTTAGCTATATGCCGAGGCGGTGACGAGTTTTGCCCGAGGTGTTCAAGTACATATCGGAATTCTGTATTT